ATTTTCCAACAGATTTGACCAATGTAGATAGATAACCTTTATATAAAAAGGTTAACAAAAATACTATCATTCTCTTTATAGTATTTGCAGTCTTTTTGGACTTAATTATTTAGTTTCTTCTATTTAATGTGTAGGTATAGATATAAATTTTAGTTTATAAGTACTATTATGATTAGCAGTGGAAATATAATTTGTATTTTGTGTAGAATGTTTATAAGATATAACAAGGTCCTTTTGAATTTTGGTGATTAACTGGGCTTTGCATTATTTACACATTTCTCAAAATGAGTATATAAATTCCAAAATAAGTCCCTTTTCAACTAGTTACATTTTTGAGATGTATATTTTAATTTAACAAGTTTTATATTTAAAAAGAGGCAAAAACTACAGCAGTAATACCTGGTAGAAGGTTACAGTGGATTATGTCATACTATTACAATTAACCTGATATCAGTCTAAGTTGTAGTTTTTTTGGACTGGCTAGAGCTTAGTGATCTGAGGAAATAAAGGAGTGTTATTATAAGAGCTTTGAAAGCCACATTCCAACTGATGTCTATGATAGAGCCCAAACTCACCAATATCCTATTTGTATTTCAGTTCCAATATTAATAAGTTTAAATGTGTTTTGAGTTTTAGCAAATGGTTGAAAGATTTTGAAGGTCCTACATTTTATAGTAAGGAAGTAGCCAAAGGCAATACTTTTATTTTCATATAAGCTTGCCTAATTATTGTCCTACTCTAGTAAGTATATAATTTTGTTAACCAGTGTCACCCCAGTAAATTCCAAATAAAGGAAAAATGTAAACCCTTAATTTATGAATTTTATTTTTTCTTTATTTTTTTGGTGACTATTACTTTTTATAAAACTATTAAAACCCCATTATCATTATATATTAAGCACATCTCATATATTATTTGATCTATTCATGTAAATTATAAATTTTCCATTATACTGATGAAGAATTTGAAGCCCAAACATGGTTAAGTTTTTTGCTTAGATCACATGGCTGATGAGTAACAGAGCAGGAGTTCAAAAAGTATTTCACTCCAGAGCCCATTCCTGATCCATGTTGATTTGAGTGCTCCTTATCAAGTAACTCATTATGCTACCTTCTGATTTTATTATAGGTCAATTAGATTCTTATAGGTACATACAATTCCATAGAATAACACTCTTACAAAACAAAGGGACATCTATGTAATTTCATGTTATTCTCATGTTCCGGTATTTATAGGGTAATGATATTCTCCAGAGTTTATGTGATGCTGTATGTATAAAAGGTACTAGAGGATGAAGGATGACTCATATCTGAGAGGTGGTTTTTTTTTTTTTTTTTTGGCAGTAGGTTGGCTTCACTATTAAATAGCACTTTTGCTACCAGATTGAAAACTTAATAGCAAGGAATTTTATTATTTCTGATTTGCAATCTTTCTTCAAAATGGTTTTGTCTTTAGTGGCTTTCAGGGAAAAAATCATGGTTTCCCTTAGTAGGTATATTATCTTGCTAGAGCTGCTGTAACAAAGTAACAAATATGGGGTAGCTTCAGCAACAGACATTTATTGTCTCCCAGTTCTGGAGACTAAAAGTACAAAATCATGGTGTTGGCAGGGTTGGTTCCTTCTGAGGGCTGTGAGGGAGAGGATCCATTTCATGCCTCTCTCCTAGCTTGTGGTGATTTGCTGGCAATCTTTGGTGTTCCTTGGCTTGTAGATGTACATCACCCTAATCCCTGCCTTCCTTTTCATATGGTGTCCTCTCTGTTCAAATGTTCCCTATTCATAAGGATACTGGTCATATTGGATTAGAGCCCATCCTAAAGACCTTATCTTATCTTGATCATTTGCAAAGATCCTATTTTTAAACAAGGTCTCATTTACAGGTACTGAGAGTTAGGATTTCAACATCTTTTTGGGGGGACACAATTCAACCCATAGCAGTAGGCAATTTTTTTCTAAGACAATAGATTTGGAAACACTTTAGTAGTGGTTATTTATATAATTTGCAGTTTATCAAATCAGCAGTATAATTATATGCACATCTATATATATAAAAGACTAATATGCTAAGTGTCCTTCCCACTGTCTGACTGGTTGCTATGATGCATACTGACCACCATGGGGCAGACGCTCAACACAGGAGCTGCCATGACGCACACTTGCCATTTACAAGAAACAGCAGCGTGGACCTGGCCGACAAAGCAATGCTCGGCTTCCCCCAAGTGGGACACAGGCCCTGCCACTACCCCAGAGCGAGCGACACCCCACCAAATCGCAGCTGATGCTGCCGAGATCCCATGGCCAGCCCAGAAATAGTTGCTGTGGGCACTGGGTAATGATGTCACGTAGCAATGCTCAGCTTCCTCTCCCTAGTGTCTAGCCTCCTTGGAGTTTCTTCAGCCCAGGAACACAACTTGCTTTATAACCAGATGCAAACATTTCACACTTTAACCAAATGTTTGTGAAGCATTTGCCCATGCCTCACCTCATTTGATTCTCACAGAAGTCCTGGAGTAGGTAGATAGGAGACTCGGTGAAATCCTATTTTCTTTTCATTAGCTAGAAAACAGAGATTTAGAAAGCTTAGAAACTTGACCCAACTGAAAAGAAGTAAGAAATGGTGGACCTTGAAAATGACTTCAGGTTTTCTCACTGTGCAGAATATAGTCAAACACTGCTGCAGTTAAATATTTTACTCTTTGTTTTCCCTGCGTGATCTACAATAATAATCTGCTTTGTGTTGATATTTACTGCTGTGTTGCTGACAATTACCTGAAAGAGAAGTTGGGGTGCTTCACTGGGCTGGAAAAAGTTTAGCTAAGTCAGAAAGCAGGTCTAATTAAGCAAGTTTATTCTATATCTATAAAAGGCTAAGTTGACTCACGCATGCGCAATACATATAAAGCTCTTGTTGGCGCCAATCGCACGTGTGTGTTTCCATCTGTCACTGTCGATCGTGAATTTGGTTGACACTTCTATTATAGAGAAAGGGCGAATAGCAATATTAAAATATTTCTTCTAATTAATTTCCTTTTAATGTGCATGAATTCATGCACCGGACCACTAGTATATTTATAGCTGACTCATGTGTGAATATTTGTTCTAGAATAGAACTGATTTTGCACTAGTATTCTTGTAAAATCTTGTTGGAAGAACAAATTGGAGAACTGTTCAAAAAGGCTTACAATAAAAGATGATTGGATATCATGATGTGTGGGGCATATAATGAGCTATTGGTATTGTATGTACAAGATGGGTATAGCTGGTGGTATGATCAAATTGGGATATAAGTAGGCATTCAGGGCAAGCAGATGTTGCAGAAGAAACAAAAATGACATGAGTTTAGGTCCTAATGTAGGAATGAGCATTTTATGTATAACTAAAGGCCTGGTGCATGGGATTCGTGCACTGGTGGGGAGCGTGGCCTGCGGGGATTGGCACGCTATGGGAGTGCTGCTCATCCTGGTCAGCTGAGTGGCTGTGGACCCGCCCTCTGAGTGGCTGCTCCCACTGTGCGAGCGCACTGACCATCAGGGGGCAGCTCCTGCATTGAGCGTCTGCCCCCTGGTGGTCAGTGTGCATCACAGCAACTGGTTGACTGGTCATTCTGGTAGTTCTGCCGTTCAGTCACTGGGCTTTTTTATATATAGATGGGCTTGGTGCTAAAGGAAGGTTTCGGGGCCAATTATGTTGTCAAGGAATCCTGGCTCTGGCCCTTTAGGGTTAATGCCAGTTTTAGCTAAGTTTCAAGCAATTGCCCTAGGATATATTTTAAATATTATCATGTAGAAAATTTGAAATATATCAGTAACAAGAAGAAAAACATGACCTGTAGCCCCACTACCCAGAGCTAGTCATTATTAACATTTTGGCATCTTGATGTAATTTCTTTGTAATTCTTGCCATGATTTTTCATTGAGATCGTATCACATAAACAGTTTTTGAAAATACATTACAGTCTGTATTCTCTAAATATAAATCTAAATTTGAGATATATTGGGTAACAGACCTAATGGTCATTAGTGATGAATTGGGTCCCCGTAATTACATAAGCCATTAGGTCATACCTGCTTTGTCTTGTCTGATTTGGTCCTTTGCCTTCAGTCTTGTCCTTCCTCCCCTCTTCCCCATTGCTTTCAACATCTTTTCAATGATCACGTCATTCTCCTGGCTTACCTCCTTCAGTCAGGACAGAGGTCCAGCTTTTTAGCATAATAAGGCATTTCTGTAATATTTCTCGTGCCTTTTTCTTCTCATCTGCTACTTTCCCAAAAGTTTCTTGGAGTTCTCAGAATATCATGTGCCCTTTTGCAGCTCTATAATTTTTCATCTCTTCTCTCCACTGAGAGTGCCCTTTCTGTATTTCTCCCTCCGTCCAGGAGCTATTCTTTAGTACTCATCTCACATGTCATTTCCTTTCTAAAGCTTTTATTCTAAGCCAGTTTTCACTTCCTTTTAGTATCTGTAGCACTTTCTACAAAACTTGTTATAAACTGATTACAGGATGTTATAATGGCTAATTTCCATCTTTATCTTTCTTACTAGATTGAGTTATTTAAGGACAGGAATCAGGTGTTACTTACACTGGTATCCATTGTAGTTAACATGGTACCCAGTAGGTGTTCAAGCAAAAACGTTTACAGAATGAATAATATCCTATCTTTTCATCGGGAATGGTGGCTATAGCTAGAATAAGTGATTATTGGAGGTGGGGGGTAACAGGTGAGGGAGTAAGATGACTAGTTAACTTCAATTTATCAAACATTTATTAAACATTTACAATTTGTAAGGTGCTCAGCTGGGCATTGTGGAAATGGGAAACTAAAATGAAGAGGAACTTTAGGGTTTGCAGTTTAGTGGACGACTCAATTTCGGTAAGTTGGTGTGGGATGATGGTAATGAATGTAATACAGAGTTGTTAAAGAGAATGATTCATTAAAATGGAATTGTGATTGGGAATATTTTTAGTGTCTTAAAATTAACAAAGTTTATTTGTCTACAGGTGACAGTAGACCTACATCATAGGTTTAGCAGATGTTCTCAACATCTCTATTGAAATTTCCTTATCTTCACTTGCAAGAGGAGCCCCAGGGCTTCATCCCTGTGGCAGCTACAATGAGCTGGTATGATGCCCTGCTTTTCCACCTCATCCTTTGTTTTGGCGGAGGATCTGGGTTAGAATTTAGCTGTTTGTTATTGCAAACAAGTATGTAGAACTGAAAATGGAATGTTTCAATAATATTAATATTGTGATTTCTTTGAGATTGTGTACCACCTATTCACAGAACCCCCATATAGTGAGTGCCTTGCTCATAGATACTTAGCATTGTGAGTTTGTTTGAATTATGCCTAGTTGTTAACTCTTTCTCATTGATTTTTAACAGATGTTAATCTAATCTTTTATTTTCTTAGATAATAAAGAAACACATAACATTATTTTTACTTATACTTAAAAACTACGTCAGGCGTCCTCAAATTACGGCCCGCAGGCCACATGCGGCCCGCCGAAAACATTTATCTGGCCCGTCGCGTGTTTTTGCCGCGGCTGCCTGTCCTTCTTAGCAGCCGACTGGTCCCGGCCCGCAGTGCGCATGTGTGGAATGTCTGAGGGACAGTGCACTGGCCCCCTGTTTAAAAAGTTTGAGGACCTCTGACCTACGTCTTTGCGTAATGTTTAACCAGCTCTTAAACTCATATGGAGATTGAGCAGGCAACTGATAAAATTTCATATCAGAAATATTTAATTACAAAACCTTTGCATGTATTAGTATGAATGAACACTGTAGCTAGTAACAAAAATATTTTTCTTCATAAAAAGTTGACATATTTTTCAGAATTCTGGAAATGTCAAGGTAGTTTTGCCTGTAGTCATATTACACTTAATGCTATTGAGAATATCGCTAACATTAACAAAAATATTCTGTAATTTCCTCAGTTATTGCTACTTGTGATGAGGAATGTAAAATTGACATGCTTTCATGTTCTGAGCATTTTCATTATATTCTTCTGATTTTACATGTCAGAAGCAATCTCTTTTATCTAAGACAGCTCAGAAGATTTTTATTTAGGGAAGAGGTCAGGCTCTGATTGTATTTTTAGTTCAGTAAATATAGAATACAGTGAATGTGTCTAAGGAAATGCATGTGCAACTTTGTATGTAAGTATTATACAGTGTTTATATATTTCTGTGGCTTTATTTGTAGGTCATCAGAACATAGTGGCTTGGGATCAAGGCACAAGTTTAATTTCTATGTTGATTATTTAATTTAGTTGTTTTCTGTAACTACTGGTAACACTCATCCTGCAGATAAAAGCTTTCGTTCACCAGGGAACTTTGGCAAGGAAACTGGCTCGATCAGCAAGTCCATTTCCATTGTGGAAAAACAACTTGAAACTCATCTCTACGGATGGTGAGTCAGTGTCATTTTCATACAGGAAAGATCATGCTAGTATTATTTTATGTTTTCAGTTTTATCAAGTGATAGGTTGGTTTAAATTTTGTTTTATGAGATATTAAACCATCATGCTTTATTACTTGAGTATAAGGATCACACAGGAATAACCTAACAATGAAAAAGAATGGAAATAATAATTTGGTGTTTATGAATATACCTAAAAGTAGTTTGATTAACTTCTCTCTCACCTTCATTCTTATTTCCATATAACACATGTTAACTAACTTATAATTCATGACTTTTGTTTGGATGAATATTGGCTGAACAGAATGACCTGTTCTATACTTACTTTAAAACATATTACTGATTTCAGAAAATTTCACTATCAACCTGAAAATTCTCTTCCATTTTGGTCTTTCAACTGGTAGCCATCATTAATGCTTGCTATTCAGAGATATAGTGGATGACTACATATGTTTAATTTTATAAGAGTTAGTAATGTATTTGCTTAGCAATCTGTAGTTCAGGTCAATATTATTTAATACATATTTAATAATCATAACTTCATTTTACTCTACTAAGTACTTTTGTGATTTGACCCAATCTTATCTGACCATGAATTATGTACATATTCAAGTATATATGTAAACATATGGGAGTATACAGAAATAACTTGATACAGTTACTAATGTTGCTTTGATCCTCATTTTTTCTAGTTGTTTTCAATTGAGTCATTTATTTGTCAGGCTGTCAAAGTAAATTTTCTTTTATAGTCTTGCTTTGCTAGTATTCTGCTTTTTTTTGGTTGTTGCTGTTATTACATTTTTATTTTCTTTCTTTCAGGGTATAAACAAATCCCAAAGTCACAGACTGGTAGGACTGATGCTCACTGAAGGCAGATGAAAGGCCTAACTGTAAGAAGGGGCTCCTTATATTACAGGTACATGACATTACATGATTATAACCAGCCTTACTATCTGTACTGTATGTTTTTTTTGTAAGAGGCCATAAAATTAAAAGAGGTAATAACATGGCACTATAATTTGAGAAAAAGTTTTATTGTACAATTTTCTTTTCCTCACAAAGGCTCTGAGTATTTCTATATTAAGATTGGACTATTTCAATTTTTCCAAATTCCCCACTAGATGATTTGGACTATGGTTTTATTTTTGACCTCTTATGGATATATACATATATATTCATACAACTTTCTAGCATAAAACGAGATACTTTTCCCCTCTGGATGTTAAAAATTCAATATTTGGAAAAAAAAGATTGGACTCTTTCTTCCCATGCTTTATAAGTAATTAGTCAGTGTAACTTGATGCATTTTAAAAATTTTTTTTCTTAAATACATTATTTTATATGATTTGCCTCAGTATGATGATTGTTATTTTCACATTTGGCCTACCTCAAACATTTTCATTTGGACTAGATTTTGGAAATTTCTTTAATAATGCAAGTCTAACAAAATTAGTTAGTGTATAAACTTGAGTTTGTCATAGCTAGAATAATTTCTAGTGTAGTTATAATAAAATACTATTTATTGAATAATGAATATTTGCTTAGTTCTATGCTTAAGTGCTTTCTATATCTCATTATATCTTCACAATAGTTATATGAGGTAGGAATAATTGCCCCAGGTTTATAGACAAGAAAACTAAGACTCAAGAATGTAATAATTTGCACAAGTGGCTGACCCAGGATTCCAAGTGTGGATACATGACCTCAGAGCTTCTGTGGTCTATTTAGAAGTTCTGTGTTAAGCTGCATGAAGTTTTTATGTATGTAACTGAGGACTGAACTGCTTCACTTATGAAACAGTCTGGCTATTTCACAGTGATTTTATACTGCTTATTAAGGCACACCAAAATGTGACTGGCCAAAACATTTGCTTTTGTGACTTCACGTGGGCATAACTTTTGACAATCTGTCAATAGATTATGAATATTTAATGTTGTGTGTATATGCAAGTGCATATATCACATGTATGAATTCTTTAAGTAGAATCTTGATGAATCCCTTGGAAATTGGTGTATCTTTAGTATCTACCCCACTTTTCAGGGAGTAGAATTGTTATTTTACTCACAAGTTTGCTAGAGGCTGAGACCCTTGTTCTGGAAAATCATTTGCATATGATATAAAACAGGTAGGCTAAAATGGTGATAGTTCTCTAACAGATGCATAATTAAATGTGAAATGTTGGTTTGATCATTGTTGAGGAAAGCCAAATGCATAAGTTGTTTAGACATCATGGAAATCTATGATCCTATGTTTTTATACTTAAAATCCTTTGATGGTTTCTATTGTTTATAAAAGACTAGAGGCCCGGTGCACAAAAATTTGTGCACTCGGGTGGGTGGGAGGGGAGTCCCCCAGCCCGGCCTGTGCCCTCTCGCAGTCTGGGACCCTCGGGAGATAATGACTTGCTGGCTTAGGCCTGCTCCCGGGTGGCAGAGGGCAGGTCCAATTCCTAATGCGCACCCCTGTTAAGCTCAAAGCAGGCCCATTAGATATTTGGGGTTCCCCCCTTTCATGACAAAGCAGGCGGATTGGGAGGTTTCGATCCACCCTCGGTCACCCTCAGGGTAGGCCCGATTAGGGAGTTGGGCACCGCCCCCCGTCACACTCAAGGCAGGGTAGATGGGGAGGTTGCAGCGCCACCCCCTGTCATGACAGAGCAGGGCCGATCAGGGGGTTGGGGCGCTGCCCTGTCATGCACAGAGCAGGGTTGATCAGGGGGTTGAGGAGCTCCCCGCTGTCACTCACAGAGTAGGGCCGATAGGGGAGTTGGGGCACCACCCCCTGTCACACACAGAGCAGGGCGGATCAGGGGGTTGGGGCGCTGCACCTTGTCACACTCAGGGCAGGGCCAATGGGGAGGTTATGGCTTTACCCTGTCACACACAGAGCAAGGCCCGTGGAAGGGGGGTTGGGCGCCACCACCCTGTCACACACAGAGCAGGGCCGATCAGGGGGGTTGGTGTGCTGCACCCTGTCAAACACAGAGCCGCAGGGCAATCAGGGGATTGGGGAGCTCCCCCCATCAGGCACAGAGCAGGGCCCGTGGGGGGGGGGGTTGGGGCGCCGCACCCTGTCACACACAGAGCAGGGCCGATCAGGGGGTTGGGGAGCTCCCCCTGTCAAACACAGAGCCACAGGGCAATCAGGGGATTGGGGAGCTCCCCCCTATCAGGCACAGAGCAGGGTGGATAGGGAGGTTGTGGCCCCGCCCCCGTCACACACAGAGCCGCAGGGCGATCAGGGGGTTTGGGCGCTGCCCCCTGTCACGCTGATCCTGGTGCCGGGAGCCTTGCTGCTCTGCTGATCCCGGTGCTGGGAGGCATATTATCCTTTTACTTTATAGAATAGAGGCCTGGTGCATGGGTAGGGGCTGGCTGGTTTGCCCTGAAGGGTGTCCTGGATCAGGGTGGGGGTCCCCACTGGGGTGCCTGGCCAGTCTGGGTGAGGGGCTGAGGGCTGTTTTCCAGCTGGCGAGTGACTAAAGCTTCCTACTGCTCCTTGTTTTCTTTTCTTTTTTTTTTTTTATTCTGGGCCAGCTTTAGCTCTGAGGCCTCGCTGCTGAAAACATCGATACAATGTTTCGGTCTGCCTGGCTTTCAGTCCGGCTGGTTTCTGGGGTTTTGTTTAGCTTCTTATTTGCAACATAGTACATAGTTGCTTAGAGTTGCAGCTGAGAGGCCGGCAAGTTAGGCGGGGAATGTTGGAGTCCGCAGCAAGCAAGCCTCATGCTCGCTTCAGTGCCTGGCTGCCGGCTGCCATCTTGGCTGACAGTTAATTTGCATATACTCACTGATTAGCCAATGAAAAGGGTAGCGGTCGTACGCTAATTACCATGTTTCTCTTTTATTAGTGTAGATAGATTGTGTTCTCTTTAGTGTATGTACAAGGTCTTTTGTTACTGAGCCATAGCATACTGCTTTAGGCTTACCTCTGGCAGCCCTCCCTTACCACTTAATATCATATATACTCCTTACATGTCGGTCTTAGACTAAATAGCTTGTAGTCATCCTACCATGATTTGTTATTTGGTACTTTTTAATCTTCATTATATTTTCCTTCTTACCATTATGATCTTTCCTCTTTGCTCCTGGTAAGTGCAACTTTTCATTTAAGACTCAGCTTTGTTATTTTTTTGAAGCCTTTCCTGACTACTGACCTCTGCCAGTGAATCTTACCTTCTTCTTTTTAATATATATTTTTAAATTGATTTCAGAGAAGAAGGGAGAGGGAGAGAGAGAGAGAGAGAGAAACATCAATGAGGAGAGAGAATCAGTGATTGGCTGCATCCTGCATGCCCAGGATTGGGGATCGAGCCTGCAACCCAGGCATGTGCCCTGAGCAGGAATCGAACCATGACCTCCTGGTTCATGGATCGATGCTCAACCACTGAGCTACGCTGGCCGGGTGAACTTTACCTTCGTAAGCCTTTCCCGTACATAGGTTATTCTAGAACCTATATTTTATTACACTTATTTATATGTCTCTTTTTAACTAGACTATATATTTCTTAAGGGCAAATAAAAAGGTGGTGTGTCTAATTTTTATATCCTCAGTTTTTAGCACAAGGAGGAACATAGTAGCTTCTTAATAAACATTTTTGAATGACTGAGTGAATGAATGAAGGAATGGTTGGTTAATCTTGATAGGAAAGAAAAGATAAATTTTTTTAAAGAAAAGATGATTCTCATAGTTGGTATGACAGGACTGATAAAGTAATTCTAAGGTGGAGTATTGCTATACTTTTCAGGGGCCATTCAATGTAGAAAATAGTTCCCTGAGTTCTCACTATAATCATATTGGCTTCTTGGAGTTTAAGATATTGTTATCTTGAACAACCAACATTTAATATTGGAAATTTACCCATAAATTCAGGTAGTGATTTTTTCATAAATATTTATATCTATACAAAGGCGCAGGGGCCATCTAAACCGAGAGCGAGGTCTTACTGTCTGCATGAGGCGACCAGGCTGGCAGGGGGCACAGTTGTCTGCATCCAGCCCAGCAGGGGGGTCAGTGAGAGGTGACCAGACCAGCAGGGGGAGCAGTTGGGGGCAACCAGGCCAGCAGGGGGGGGGAGTGAGGAGTGACCAGGCCGGCAGGGGGTGCAGTTAGAGGCAACCAGGTTGGCAGGGGTGTGCAGTTAAGGGCGACCAGGCCAGCAGAGGAGGACAGTGAGGGATGACCAAGCTGGCAGGGGGGCAACTGGGGGCAACTAGGCCTTCATGGGGGGCATTAAGAGGTGACCAGGCTGGTGGGGGGGCAATTAGGGGCAACCAGGCCAACAGAGTGGAGCTGTTGGGGGAGACGAGGCCGGTGGGAGGGGGGCCAGTAAGGAGCGACTATGCTGGCAGGGGGGGGCAGTTGGGGACGACCAGGTTGGAAAGGGGGGGCAGTTGGGGGTGACCAGGCTGGCAGGCAGAGGTGGTTATGGGTGATCAGGCTGGCAGGGGGGCCAGTAGGGGCGATCAGGCAGGCAGGCAGGTGAGCAGTTAGGAGCCAGCGGTCCTGGATTGTGAGAGGGATGTCCGACTGCCGGTTTAGGCCCGATCCTCAGGAAACTGGCAGTCGGACATGCCCCGAGGGGCCTCGGATTGGAGAGGGTGCAGGCTGGGCTGAGGGGATGACCCCCTCACCCATGCACATATTTCATGCACCGGGCCTCTAGTATTTCAATAATGAGTAGATAGATCTTGACTCAAGGACTCTATTACTTTCCTTAAAGAGGCCCACATGTGCTCTGGTGTCATGTCATAATCAATCTAAAGTTGGAAAAGGACCCTTCTGCTTGAAAATTATGAAAAGGAAGTAAAAAATGAGCCTATTGGTTATCACATTTAAAGTTCCATTTGCTTTAAACTGTAGTTCTTATGTAATATACTCCTGACTAATGGTCAGTATTATCAGAATGACAAAGTC